TTAAACTGAAAAATATTAAAGAAGTCTTAAAATAGCACTCTGAAATGATAATTTTCTACTTAGCAGCTTGCGGGATTTGAACAAGTGATAGCTGTTCAGAGAGAGCCTTTAAGGAAAAAAAAAGTGTCCTTTATGGAATTGCAATTTTTTTTGTTATAAATTGAGACTAAAAAACTAGTAGTAGTCCAGGTCATGACTTTTCGCATACACGAGCATATCATATCATGACATACCTAGTTATGACCTTGTGCATGCTTGACTTTTTAATTATTTTTTTTTTCTCTCCCCTTCTCCTTAAATAGTAGTCTGAGCTTTGGAGCAAATCTAGTTAAACACCTGCAGTTATTTTCTTTCTCTTCCTGTAGCTTTGTTTGCTTCAAGTAATTGTCAAAGAGCGCTGTTACTGCACTTCCTGTTTGAAGCCACAGTGAACAGTATGCAGTCAAAGGATATAGAGGGTTCAACCTTAAAAGGAGCTTTATAGTTGATTTTTTTAAAACAGCGTCAGTTCTTAAGCAATATAATTAATAAGCAGGTTTATTCTAAGTGACCTTCTGTAGCATGCAGCATGTTTGTGTTTGGATCAACTAAGGTAAATGAATGTTCTCAATCCTGCTTTTTGCCAGTATACATGAATAGCTTGGAGGGCAGATTGATTTCTTTTTTTGCCCTTCCTCCTGTCCTGTTATTTCATACAGAAATGTTAATACTGCTTTAATAAGAAAAACTGCCGATACTGTAAGAGAATGTGCTCCACCCCTGCTCTCCATTATTGCAGTGTTTGTACTTAACTGCCTTTATGACTGGTATTTAATAATAAGCAGTTGTTGTGGGTTTTGCATTATTAGATCAGCTACTGTAAAATAAGCTGAGTTCTGAAGCTTGGGTTTCACTTTAAATTTTAAACAATACATCTTTTTTAATATCTTAATTTCTTCATACTACTTAAAAATTCTATAAATGCTATGAAATTGAAGTTGTACATAAAGCATTAAAATGTGACAACCTGTATGTTTTTGCATTGTGAATCATACACCAGATTTCAGAGTTCAGAAAGTTTAAATGGGGAGAAGTAAATAGGTGTTTCACCATTCATCACTCTGACTAACTTTCTGGTTCAGACAGAATACGCGCCTTGTCTTTTCAGTGTGAGTGGTATGGTGTTCTGCTCTGAGCACCATAAACTATGTAAAGAACAAAAACAAAGAGCGATAGAGCTATTGTCTTGAACTGTGTTCTTCAGCCTCTGTTACCGTCGTCATCTGGAAAGTCTACATAAATGCAGCAATACATGCGAACAGTGCCATATTAAAAGCCTTGCTCCTACAAAGTAGAGAACTAGCTGTGAAGTACATGTTTTGGGATGTCATTAATTGCAGCTAGGTTTGGAGTGCAGTTCCAGGTTTTGCAGGAACACTTTCTCTACTAGAATCCTTGTGGGCTGATACTACATAATTACCTGACTGGTAGCTGTAGGTCAGTATGGTGCTTCCTTCTCTTTCTTTCTTTCTTTTTTTTATAACCAATAATTTGGAAAAGAACAGTAGAATTTTCCTGTTTTAACTTGTTCTCTAAACAAATAATTAGCAGCATAAGAGAAGTCCTAGTGTGTTGCTATTGACTTTGCAGTGGTGGTACACCTTTTGCCTTCAGTTTAATTGCTTTTCCTTTCCATTTTGGTGTGGCAGATTTGTACCTGATCTTTTATACTAACTTGGCCACTGTAAAAATCATTCGTTTATCAGAGTGGGGGTGGATAAAATTGCAGTGCTGCAACAAATAGTGCTAAGTTTTGTTTGCTTTTTAAGAGGTGCAATTACCGTGAGTTTTCTCCAGACTTAGAAATATGTCCTCCCGCCATCTCTTTTTCTAATTAAAAAGCAGCAGATTGAAAAACTGCTTGGTACTGATTGTAGAACCATGGAGTTAAAGGCAAATGTGTCATTTTATAGGCTATAAAATACATTTTTAAGATGAACATGTCATGAGACTATTATCATGATCTCTAGCTTCACTTTGTCATTCAGCAGCTTTTGATTTAAGGAGGGGAGTCAGCTGCAAAGACAACTCTGTCCTGGAGGACACAAGTCCTACATGCTGAGAGTGGCTGGGTGGAAGAGGTCTTCTGCATCCTCGAGTATTTTGTAACCAGGAAGATCCTCCCAGGCTTACAGGAGTGTTCACAATTCCTTTGGTTTTTTTCCTAGGGCTTCAGCTCAACACAGTGCTTAATGCTGCAGTGAGCTGGAGGAGAGAGAGTGCTAGCTATCACTGAACAAATGGGGAGATGGATCAGCAGAGGAGATTCCCTGCCTTTTCCATATAAGTCTTCTGTACACAGGTGTAACAGCGGGATGGAAGTTAACCCTTTGTGAGAACAAGCATCTGTTACGTTAAATCTGGATTTTATCAAAAAGAGACTGTGGGGAAGCAATAATACAAGCGTCAGACTTTCAGGAGTTGCAGATCAAAATACTGGGTCACTCATGCAGCAAGGGAAGCCCACTGTGATGTATCAGTTTACAGTCCTGGCAGATTACAGTGTATTAGGCTTCAAAATGCAAATTAGACTTTGCATATTTGCTTTCTCAATTTTTCTGAGCAGCTAGCATTGGAGAAGCACTGCTCTGTTTCGGAACAACGTGCAGCCTAACTTCTCAGAAGTAAGCTCACCAAGTTTTAAGGAGAGATAAGATGTACAATTACTGGACCAAAATTGTCAATTGTTACATGCTTAACAGCAGTTAACCACATTTTGGTTCCAATTCTGCTACATGTTGACTTAGCTTCAGAAAAGAATTGGGTAGCATGCAAATTCTGAGACTGCAGAGAACAGCCTTTCTACATTAGTCCGGATCTTGCTATTTAAAATTCATCAAATTTACAGTAACCAGAAGAATTGAGAAAATAATGTGAAGCTACCTAATTATGAAGTGAAAACTTCCTGAGAGACTTTTATATTCATTCTTGGATTTCACACTGTTTGTTGGTAACTTTGTTGCAGCTTCTTGACATGTGTATGGCATTTAGATGATCATCTTTGAGGTAGAAAAATACCTTTTTAAATAGTGAAAGTAGTTATATTAGCACTGCACTAAGACCCTTTTTTGAAGTACCTGACAACAGAAGGGTTGTGTAGAAGGATTTTTTCATTTTTGTTTTTGTTTGTTTTGGTTTTTTGGGTTGGTTTGTTTGTTTGTTTGTTTGTTTTTTTGGGGGGGGGCGTTTAGTCTTTTTTTTCTTACCCTCAAGGTGTTCTGTTTAATAGAATTCCTTTGCTTTATATGGTGTTAGTGATAGGAAAAGCTAGCGAAGCATTTTTTCCCTGCTTCATAGTCTGATCTTTGGGCAAGAAATAGCAGGCATAAAAGCTTAAACGTTACCAGTAGGTTTTTCAAAGCTAGGAGAGGCAGGTACTTTTGCTGGGATTTTGCTACTTAGGTGATGTTACTTCAGCCTACATTGATTTTTTGAAGTGCCTCTGTTAGTCTTTTAAAAGGTAATAAGTGGGTAAAACTTCCCAGAGGCTTTGGACTTGGTACAGGCAAGGTGTTAACTGTATTTGTGTGTATGTGTGCATTGTAGCCAACAGTCTTGGAATGTACCTGGCTAGCAGTGGCTGCACAGTACAGTAACTTGGCATGTGTGTAGTACGTGAGGGACCTACCTGTGTATGTGCTTCGCATGTAGAGAACTATTAAAGGCAGTAGCTAGGTGGGACTGCTCCATCACAAATGTGTGTGTTTGTACATACGTGTGTATCTGTAGTATATCTATCTGTAGTTTATGTATCCCATGGAGTCTCCAAACCTCTTCATTCTGTGAGGAATGATGCATAATTAAGCACATATTTCTATGAATAAAGATACAGTTTTATATAGAATTATTAAGGAGTATGCATGTAAAAAACTTCTGAATACTCATTATCTCACTTTCTCTGCAAGTGAAGTTTGAGAGATGCCAAGATAAATGACCAGGGTGAAATCTCACAAGAATTTTTATTGCACTCTTACTGAAAGAAACTGGGTTGGAGATTAACCAGTAAACATTATTTTGGTAAAGGAATGGTTGGAATCTGGAGCCTCAGGTGTTCTGCATGAGGAATCTAGAGGTGTAAGGAAACAGTTTCAAACTCTGCAAGTAGTCTCCTATTTTGAAGCCAGCTTCACATGAAGGAGGAAGGTAGAGTGAGCGGAACAAAATTACCTTCAGTTGACCAAGTCTAGCCATTTTGCAAATTTTCCAAATACAGAAATTCATTTATTTCTTCAACATTTAGAAAAGCACAACTTAATATTTGAGAGCTGTGCGACAGGGTTGAGTTACTGTTTAAACCTCATGCTGTGAATAGACTGGGTAACTTTTCCATTGAGAAATACGAAGTGTCAATAGGCAAAATTCCCTAAGAAGTTTAAAGGGGTGTGTGGGCAATCGTCACTTTCTAAAATGACACTTCATAGTTAGAAACAGACCAAACAGAGACGACTGGCAGGAGATTGGACACCAGTTCTTGATATGACTTCATCTAACCAAAGCTGGAATGTAAGGCTCAGACGGATTTATGGTATATGCCATTTTTGGTATTCAGTGTAGAAATAAGCACATGACCTGTTCGCTAGTGTCTCTTTGGTCTGTGGTTCAAGATACTGCTAAGAAATCACTGGTGTGTGTGTCTGTCTGGGAGCACAATATTCTGTATGTTCTTTCTTTTTGATGCAGTGTACTTCTGCTTTCAGGTTCACATAACGCTAAGGACCAAAGAAGCATACATAACATTTCTGTGGTGCTGGGACCAACCTTCTGAAAGAAAACTCTAAAGTAACTTTTTGCCTTGAAGTCGTTTGTCCTGGGACTGTCTTGTCTTTGGAGAAGAGCTCAACAGAGAAAAGATTTTTCAGATTGGAACCATTATAAGTAAACCTATTTAAAGGACTTGCTACCTGGAGATAGATTTACGGAGTCCTGCTTTTCATCTGTGTTCCTACTGCAGACTGTAAACAATGAGTGAGTTCTGGTTGTGTTTCAACTGCTGTATTGCAGAGCAACCTCAGCCTGTAAGTATGAATATTGCCAATGCTTTGTTTTTATATAATTAACTACATTGTTCACACTTTCTGGTTTTCTTGCATTTTTTCATATTACTGCTGTTCGACCAACCTCAATGAGAATTAAATAATTAACTAGCATCATGGCTCTGTGGGCACAAAAACTGTCTGTTCCAGGCTCTTGTCACACAGATACTTTCCTGTCCTTGCGATCAAATCTATCTAAAGTCTTTGTAAAGAGCCTTTATTTATTTGAATTGAAAAAGAGAGGAAAGGAAGGGAACTAGTCTAAACCAATCTAAACTATCATTGTAAAAAAAGCAATTTTTGAGTGGATGTATGCAAATGTCTTGGCTTCTGTACGCTTAAGGCTTGCCTTCAGATGTGGCTGGAGAATGATGAAGGAAAGTAACAATTCTGTTAGAAAGCCCAGAGTGAAATCCAGTTCTTCTCCACCTTAATTAAGGATTTCAGCCTTAATTGTTTTATTAATTTTTTGAAACCTTAGGAAAGTGAACGGATGCACTCATACTGTAAATACTTTTTTTTTTTTTTTTTTGAAATAGAATTTGGAATGGTTGTTGTGTGAAAAAGTACGTAGCAAGCGGTTGGATAGAAGCACATATCAAAGCATACTTCAGACAGAAATACAGTAATAGTATTTGGTTTCATATATTTGAAGTACCTTTGGAGTGTCTTCCTGAGGCCAGTGGTGTTAGGAGAAAGTCTGCCTGCATGAAGGTGAAATTAACTGGGAATATGGTTAGCACTGTGAGGAAAATCATTATATGGTGTGACATCCGTATCAAGCTAAATGAGTGTACAGAAAGGACAGTCATCTTGCAAATATGTGGAAAAGAGCCCCGTTACTACTTAGGGTATGTCAGAATTAAAGTGGCCAAGAGAATCATGAAGTGAATAGAACAAACATTAATATGTTCAGATGATAATGTTTGGCTTTAGGGAAGCTGCAGGATTAAAATAATAATAATCTGATGTTAGGTGGTGTCATTGCGCAACTCGTGAATGCCAAACTGATCCACTTAAAAGTGTAACCATTACAATTTTAACAAATGAATGCAATTGTACCCCTTAGCCCAGTAGAGTTGTGGGAAATGAACTCTGAGATACCAACAGGGGAAGCTGCAGTCCTCTCCCGTTTCTTGGATGCCGTGCAGTCCTTTAAAATGCTATCTGTGTCCATTTATAGCCAAAGTTACTGCCTAGTATTTGGAACATCTGTTTCAATTAAAAATAAGGCATGACTGTTAAAAACCTTTGAGATGGAAAACAGCATGTTTGTTTACAAGAATCCTGAGGCTCAGTCCTTACAAAATCTTGACTTATGTTTTAGTTATTGCCCCAGAAATACACAGTATGCTAGTACAGCATGTGGGTCGTAACTCACGGAAAGGGTAGAGAATGTACTTCAAAAGTTGAGAAGAGGGAAACAACCCATTTTTGTTGGACAGTTTCTGCTGACCTCATAGTGTGCATCTGCTTAGAAAAATAAAACCATCCTTATGTTTAAGATACAAATAGCACGTTGCTATGCATTGACCTAGTTCCTGAAATCTGCTTTTCAAATGATGTAGAAGCCTTGCTTGTTATGAAGTGCCAAAATTTTTCAGGACGCACCTCAGATTAGAAAGTTTTGGGCTCTCCTTGACATGCTTGACAATAGCTGCTTAATTGTCCTTCCCCTGCAATTGTTCAGCTCATTTTGCTGTGTTGTACAGCTGTTGTTCAGCCATGCGCTGTTGCTGTAAGCAGAGTATTTAATCAGATACATACACATCCAAGTACAGGAGTGTTTTTTCCTCTCTGGTATGTAGCAAAGCATGTACTGTCAGCGTGTGCATTCAGTCTGTCAGTTTAGCCCAGGTTCTCGGGAGAAATGCCTCATCTGCCCACTTTAATCCCTTTCAGGTGCCTTCTTTCATTTCTACCTCCTGCATCTGAACTTCCTCATAGCCTGAGTGTCACAGCCATCAGTTTCATGTTCAGCATTCTCCTTCTGTGAAAGGACTGTTGTGGTCTTGTAGCAACACTAACTCCCTCCAGCCTCTCAGAATATAAGACCTTGAAAGCAGGAAGTTACTTAATTTGCCACTTGCTCTGATCAATGCTTAAAATGTTCCTTTTGTTTTTAAACTTCCATTCTCTGAAACTCTTTTATTTTCTCATTATCTTTATCAGGTGCTGATACTTGGGACACCTTTCATGTCACAGATAGTGACACAAATTTTTATGGAAAAACTTTTAGTAGTTGCATGTTTCTGTGATATTTACAGCTTTCATTGAGCTAAGGAGCTCTCCTACTCTCTTGAAATCAGAATGCAGGAACTGTCTCTGCTTTCTTCTGGCAAAACTCTAGCACATTACATTAGGAATCTTCAGTACAGCATCTCTATTCTTTGCACTATAGTGCACTTAAAACGAAAAACATGTATATGCAGTGAGTCCTTTCAGAAAGTTTAATAGAAGACTATTAATCGGGCTGTACACAAAGGCATTTTCTAGGTTATTGCCAATACTCTGTATGCCTTCCAGACTTGCATACAGGTGCTTTCCAGTGTATTTTCATGGTTTTGAACCATGTCTTTTTAGATAAGATTTGCAAACTGTATGGCAATAAAGAACATATTACTTACCTAATTTTACTGCCATCACTTTCCTCATAGCATGCCCCAGGGCAGAACAGTAACAGTGTTGCAGTTACATATTAATGCACTTTTAAGGGGTCCTTAATTAAAAGACAGTATTCAAGTATTATGGTCATCTCTTGTTGAAATCTGTCACAGCACAGCTTTCTGTCTTGTGTCGGTGCTAAACTGATGCACCATGTTCCTGTGGAATAAAACACAGACATCTTGGAAAGCAGTGTTCTTCTGTCTCTCCTAATTTTCTCTGGTTGCTAAATGTTTCACTGGGTGTTTCCAAGACTGCAATATTCATAATAAGATCTTGGAAGGGGCATGTTTGAACATGGGTCTCTGCTTCACTAACAGAATGATAAATAAATAAACTGAGTATGCAAAGAAACAAAACTAAATAGTGATGCAGTTGAAGGTGCATGGTGGCTTAGGTCTTGCTTCTTAATAGCCCAAGGTCTTTACTACAGTAAAATGCAAGCAAAAGCCAAGGGAAGGTGTTCTCTTACCTCCTTCTGGTTTTCTCATGTCAAGTTTGGATTGATAAGATATTTTACCACACTGAAGACTGCAGGCAACCAGCTGGTTACATACCTGCTTTCATTATACCTGGGAGGTGATATTAATCTTTTAATAACTATGTTCAGATTTTCTTGGTTGGTTAAATAGCCTGAATTAAATGTCATGATCTGACCCAAACCTTTTTTTTTTTTTTTTTTTTATTTTGAGAAGAGTAGCATTTTTATGTGATTGCACTAGGTTTCTTACACCTCCCACTGATACCCTTTATAGGTTCTGTTAGCTGATCTTGCACTTTCCAGCGACGAGATGAGTTTTTCTTACCGTGCTTCCTGTGTGCTATCATCCCATCCACTGCTATGTTTCAACTCTGCCAAATCGCCACTACCAGATGTGTTGGTTGGTAGTGGAATTTGAGAGAGCATTTTATCTTGCAGATTTTCAGAGAAGATGTCCATGTTTTGTTGGGTTTGTTTTTCTTAGCATGAGTTCATTGCCTACACCAGAAATCTGTTATTTTTCTCTACCTTTTTTTAATGTTCTCTGCATTTTTAACTTGCATAGTTAATTTTTGCTCTGAGAAGCCTTTGGTCATGATCTAGTGCACTCCTACCTCGTTTGGGCCACTGCCTGGTACTGCTGAGCTCTACAGTTTACTTTGACCTTTTAGTAAAATGACTGCTCTGCTATAAAAGTACAAACTGTGCTCTCCATCTTGTTCCAAGCTTCCTTCTGTAGTTAATTAGTTCCTGGTTTGTTGCTTATCTCTTGCTCAGATGACTTCCATTTTGCATTTTGTCAGAGGGCTATTGCAGTTTTGCTGCATGCTATGCTGTAAATGTTTAAAGTGGTTTAGAAAGTGAAGTTTCCTTTATCTCTTTTTTGATCTGTGAAAGAGGATTGACCAATCTGTATTTATAGTGGGAGACCCATCTTAAAATACAGACAGAAGAAACCTTGCACATACTGATGTATTTATCAACTGATCTGAATGCTGAATGACACAAATGACATAAATGGTCTTGATCCTGATTACTTAAGAAAATTACCCACATGGATATTGTCAGCTCTGGCTTTTTTGCTAGAAAAGGAGTCATAGATGTAGCTAAAGAACTACCACCGCAACTCTTAAAAACTTGAACACAGTAATTAAGCATTCAGTATGCATAACAAATGCAGAATAAATTACGTTCAGTGGGCATGCACAGTAAATCGGGAGTTTGCTACTGAAGACATCCTGGGCCATTTGGTACAGCAGTGCAAGCTTCTCTCTCAAAATTACTAAAACTCTGGCTTTATTACTTACCAGCTTTGATCAGCCTACCACATTCAGTAAGTCTATGAAAGACTCAAATGTAAAAGGTGACAACTCTAGAGAGCCCTTGTATTTCAGAGTTGTCATACTGAGTTACATATTGAGCTGCCAGTTAAGATGGTTTAAATTCCTTCTATTTCCTATTCAGTGCTGTTGTAGAAGTAGCCTGAGGGAACACCTTATCAAAGAGGGCAGAGTTAAATAAACAGCAAAATGCTTGGCTTTTATTTCCCAAGTCTGATCTGTTTGTGCTGCTTTCAGCCTGATAGAGCTGCTTTAGATTTTTCTTTTGCCTCTAAATTAGCCCCCTACGCTTTAAAATATCTATTGTGATGTTCAAGTATTAGAATGGTTACAAAGACAACAAAAAAGGCAGTATTTTATGTATTTATAAATACTTGAATGAAAATCAAGTGAATATTTTGTGACCCTTTATAATGGCTCTGAAATCTGTAGGAGTTCTTAGTTAGCTGTACTGATGCTATTTATTTAGGGTAATAGTAGTTGATGGGATGGAAAAC